TCTACTCTTGAGTCCATGAGCCTCAAATCTTTTACCGGCAGGGGCCTCCAACGAACTTAATCCGCCTTCGACTATGCATAACAAAGATCCCTTACACAGTAATGGATTAAAGTCTCAAAATGATTTCAGCAAAATTCAAGTAAAATATATGTAACATTGGTAATGATAATTAAATTCGTCTATTACAGTAACACTTTTTAAAAATTAAACTAAGAAAATTCGTATTTTCTAAAGAGAAAGTTTTTTCATATCCGCACTTCGTAAAATTGCAACTTATTTTTATCATTGAAAGACCCCTAAAGCGCACGTGCTTCGGGTCACGGGATCTACTAATCTTCTAATGGCGGGAGCCAATCCCTTGCTGTGTATTTATCTCTAACGTTTCAACACGCGATAGACGGTTCAAAATAATAAGAGGCGTAAAATTCTAACTAATTATAAAATTGTATTCTTTTCCCTTAGTTGTATGATATAGCATGGTACATTTTTACAGAATTTGTTTAGTTTTATTAACAATCTTCTGTAATATTGATTACTATATTTATGCATAAAAACTAGTACAAAAGTTTTAAAAACATAGAAGTAGAAAAAAGTTTAAAAGGAAATAATACATATTGTTTTATTAAAAGAGAAAAAATACCTGATTTTTTTTTTTTGTAAACTTTTAGTATAACAGAATTGAGTAAAAAAAAGGGGCCTAAAGAATTAAACCCTGCCTTCACTTTATTAAAAATCGAATCCATATAATTAAAGTCCTAAATTCATTCAGAACCGACACTAAAAAAATTAATTAATATATTTTGCATTGCTTACTGTACTAAAGTTAAACCAAGCTGAAACTACTAAACTAATTGCTTTCCGAAAACATGAAACTGTGAAAATATGGCTCCTAGTTATTCTCACATTTAGTTTCAAAATATTTTAATTTTTAATAATTTTAATTAACTTTAATATTTGAATAATTTAAATTTAAGNCCTATACCACTCGGCTACCGCGGGCTCGAATGTGATTGCATAGCAATTAATAAACTTCATGCTTTTTTGCGTGTATTAAAGTTTTCGCTCGTTTCCGTCACTTTCATCACACTGACGCGATTTGGAGTTTAAAATATTTTTTGAATTTAAATATCGCCATGCTTCCCACCGGCTCTTTCCGTATGCCGCCCAGGGCCATGCCCCCCTTTGCATCCCCCACACTACGCCACTTGTAGACACGTTAAGTTCCCAAGAGATTAAACCATTTCATTGGTGGTACCATCTAGTGGGGACTTCCACTACTAAATTCTTTTGTTTGAAGGTTGTTGTTTCTTAAAGTTTTATGTCATTATATAAATTAGAAAATTGATAAAATTTGCAGTTGTTTAAGAAAATGTTGGTTTTTTTCTCTCCTCCAACTGAGTTTGAAAATCATTGTAAACTTTCAATATGGTTACGTTAACCGAGTAGTCATAATTACGAAATCATGACGGGTGAGTCATGAGCTCTAGTGCAGTTACTATTCAAAGATTCGGTGTGTTGAGAGGACGCGCGATGCACATAGAAAAATATTTCAAGTCTGAAAGTTCTTACTTTAGCGTGGTGTGGAGTTATAGAAAATCGAAGCTGTATCTCAGGTATTCACCTCGTTACTTGACCTAATTTCAAATGTATGAGGTCTGTGGCAAATAACTATCAATTTGATTTAAGGTGTGGCGTTAATAAAAACTCAAAACAATTGCAACATTTTAATGAGATATGTAAAATGGAGGAAAGTTTTGAATTCAAATATCACAAAAAAATGTACGGCATGTTTATAGACTTAAGGAAATAAAATTTAAGAAATTATATATTTAAACAAAAATAATCATTATCAAGAACACTAATACATTTCGAAAGGAATCTATCTCCGTACAACAAAATTGCAAATTTCTTCTCGTTATCAAGAAAAATCGTCTGGAGAAAAGCTTGGAATTACATATATTTTTTAAATAATAGTAACTGATGCTTTACAAATACTGAAAGATTAATTGACGAACTTATATATTTGAAATAACAGTGTTTAAAGATAATTACATTTATTATCCTAATTGCTATTTGGAAAAAAATTTTTTAATGAGTTCGTCTTTAGCAATTCGAGCTCTTATTTCAGCTTTTGAAAACTTACAATTTTATTCCAAACTATTCCCATGTCTTAATTGGACAAATTGTTAGTCTTTGACTAATTATTTAAGTGTAATTAATAAGTTTTACACACAAAATATTTTAGCAAATATATTTGATTACTGAAAACTATTAATACGAAATAAATGTTTATGTGTGGATTTTACAAAGGGCTCATGACCAGATGCCAATTATTTCTTTTAATCTCATAGCAGCTTTCAAGCAATGAAGTTCGGACTATTTTTTACATTTTTTGCGAGATTTAATAATTTATGTTCAGTTTGCTGTTGCCCATAGATGTTTGGTATAAATTTGATGAATAATAGTTATATTTGTCATGAATGCTGCTACACTGGTGTTCAAGTATTCTTTTTCAGGGAAAAGACACTAACTTTTTTCTTTTTTTATTATTAAAATATGTATCAAAATTAAGTTTTGGTAGAAACAAAATATTTTTAATTTCCTGCGCAATGTATTATTTAGATAATGGCATGGATAATCATTTGATTATTATTTAATTATTTAAGTTTGTCAAGTATGAATCCTTTTTTATCTCATATTTATTATTTTATTACCATTTCAGTACCAATCAGCTAAATGTACTTTAAGCTGAATATTGTTTTTTAAAATTGTTGCTAACAAAGACGTTGGCAATATTATTTATATGCACCAATCATTTGGTGAAATACATCTGCTGTTGACACGACAACACAGAAATAAACTTATCCGTGCATCAGTTAATAAATGGTAAAGCTTCTGACCGACAACTATTCCATCAGCAATTCCGTCTACTTTTATTCTCATAGTGTAACTCTTAAGTCAAAGTAGTGATAGAAGTAAAATTTATCACTGTTGAAAACAAACATTATTGCATAAAAAATTATTCAATATTTTTGGATATTCCTCATTGTGTAGTAAAATGGTAAAATATATATATATATATATGACACTAAATTTAAACTAACCAGTGATGAAAGACGTTACTTACGATATTTGAAAACAATGTTATTTATAATATACATACGAGAAATCAGAAAGAGTAATAAAATTTGGTTGGTTTTTGAAATTGTAGCCATACTTGGCTCCAGAATTACCGCATAAACGAAAACAAGTAAATTATTTTTCTATAAAGTTATGCGATGCACGTTAAGTCTGACGAGAGCTTAAACTTCCTCCCGAAGATGTGGTGTGGTAGTTAGGAGAGAAGAGGTGTGAGCTCAAGTGTCGTCCTCGTCGATTGACAATGGTTCAAAATTCCGTGGTCCGTAGCCAAAACTCCGCGAGTAGCTGAACAGTGTGACGTCAATTTTCAATCACTCACTGCATGCATACGATGTCTTGTTAATTATCTCGCCAACAGTAGCATCAGATCAAGGCCAGTGAAATTCATCATGACAAGGGGCTAGTTTGTAAGCATGTAGTTAGACGTAGCTTTGAGCACCATACAGGTGACAGTACGATTTTATACGGTCCCCCCAGTTTCAGGGAAAACTCCCTGGGGATGGCCAGAGGCCTCCCACCTCTCTTCCTCTTCCATCAATCTCATGTAGTCTGCTCGACGACTATTTAAAGTACTCACATGCCACAAAGGCACTATACATTTACAAATAGCCATGCCTTCTCCATGATTAGAACCTTGACCCTACGACATGCATTCAGCGTCACTAACCACTATACTGGAGGTGGCTTATTATGTTCTTGAAACTTGTAAGAGGAGATGTCAGATAATTTTTTTTTCTTCCTTAATGCAAGAGCTTTCATGAAAATAAGCAAAATAAACTTAACTCTCATTCTGTTTACAGATGAAGAATTAATTGCATTCGGATATAATTATAACTAAGGAGCAAATGAATAAAAATTCTTCCCTGTTTTCAATACACACTCTTATAATAATAATAAATTTTTCATCGGTTGAATTAAAAATATACATTATTTATTTTTCTCGTTGTTATATATTTGTACGCTTTAGCTTCCACAACTCTAGTGCTTTTAAAACTCTATGAAATACTAAACTCCATTTTTTTTCTTTAATGAGGGCTGTTTTTGACTGAATATAGAGCCATATTCTGTGTATAATAAATTCCATTGTTGTCATGGAAACGCATCCAATAGGAAGATCTCAAGCAGTCGGAAACAGCCGTTCCGACAGCTACTTTTCAGCCTACACTTGGAGAATTGAAATGATACATTATTCACTCATGTTTGCCAGAGGATGGATTTTCGTCTTTATTTATTCTCTTACTTTTCATTTCTTCCCTGTTTTTGACATCTATGATATGATTCTTTTTTTCAGAAAGGAGATGAGAATCTTCTATTAAAAGAATGAAAGCAAAAAATAATACAATAGGGCCCGGCCCGACTTAAGAAACCCCATTTTGACGAATTTGATGATTTAACGAATTTTCTCTGTCCCTGGTTAAAAAGAAAGTAAAAACCACGTATTTAAGGAATAAAAAACCCCGAACTAACGAATTATTTCAACAGCTTGAAAACAATTTTTATTCGGTATTATTAAAAAAAATTAGATTTTTTTAAAAAAATGGCATACCCTCTTTGGGCGGAACAGAAACAAGCAATATTAAAAAAAAAAAGTTTTTAAGTCCATTTCAACTTAGGTCAAGAATAAATATTTTATTATATAGTTACTATTAAAAAATTACAATTAATTTAAATATGTATATACATATGACAGAATCACAATATTAAGTGACAAAATAGAAAGCTGTTTTCCTTGACATTTTCCATTTTTCTTTTCTATATAGGGTGTTGGATTATTTTTTTTTCTTCTGATTATTCATTAATTATATTTAATTATTCTAATAAAAATAGTTAAAAAGAAATCACATTCACAGAAATTATTCCATCCCAGTTGGGATTCGAACCCATGACCCTTGGATTAGAATTCCTACGCGCTATCCATTGCGCTACAGGGACACAATGAACAACTTTCCTTTCTACAGATGCCGTTGGACTTTTATTTCTGTTTGTTACAATTTATTCATCTTTTAATTTAATGAATTAATTAATATTTGAAAAAACTGTATTCACATCAAGTGCCATCCACTACAAATTTTTTAAAAAATGTCTTTGAACTTGAATGGATGAATTAAAAAGTATTTTATTAACGATTGAAAACTTGAGCAAGATATATACAAATATATATACAGGGAGAGAGAGAGAGAAGTAATTGTAGGAGTTGAAAAAAACTTTTCTTGTAAGCAGAAATTTTTTACAGGAATAGGGTGATGTTAAAAATATTAGACTTTTTACAGGTGCAGGTGAGCCATGAGTGTAATCTATCATGTGAGTTTTGACTAGGACTTCCTTATATCAACATACTCCAGAACGGAGGGCATGTTTTAAGATTTTAACGATTACGTTACATTTGATGACAAATTGCCTACCTGTTGAGAGCAAGTTGATTTGTCTAAACCAATGGATAGAGATTCTAATGCAGAAATCGATAATGTAACTCTTATGAAAGCTGTAGTATTTTCCAATGTATTACATTGTTCGGAAACTGGGCAAAACATATCTCATGAAGCAGGATGTAAATAACACAATATTTTCTTCTCTACATAAAGTCGAAAAATAACTCTTTCGAGTCGGGAATCAAAGAGATTATTGAACATTTATTAGTCAGTATTTTAAAATTTCTAATTTACAAATGCGTAATAATTAACTAACAGTATTTTTAGTTGTTGAATAAAAAAAATGTGTAATTTCTAACTGTGGATATTTTTTGTGTAGTTGCTTATTACAGAATGTCCAAAAGATAAAAGCAAAAAATTTGTATTTCGCTTAGACCCCGATTGAGTGAATAACCTCGAATGAACGAAATAAATGTTCGGTCTAGATGAATTCGTTGAATCTGAGTCCAACTGTAAATTGGTTCTTTATTACTCAAAGAAGACTTTAAAAAAATGGTGAATAATGTTGTATAAAATCGCATAAATCATTTTTGTTGAGTTATTTCTGTAATGACTGTAATCATGTTTTTCTCTTATCATAACAATTTGATTAGTTTCCGTTGTAGGAATATTTTTAATGTCACAAAAATATTTATCTGTGTATTTTAAAAGAACATTCCCGAATTTGTAGACACCTATTTTCACTTTCTTTATTTTAATGCATCATCAGTACATAAGTTTTTCGTGAATATTGTAGACATACAAGAGTTCAAATTTAAGGTTAAAGTAAATTAAATGTTTCTGTTTTCTGCAGATGCAAAATAAATTCAATGGTACCCTATTTGTTATACTGTATTTTGCTCTTAACCAGCCTTCCAAATGGTATTAAGTTTCATTAAATTGTGTAGGTCTACCGATTTCTGAAAATTACCATCAGGTAGATAGAGTATTATGAACAGTAATATCGATACTAAATATGTGTTACTGTGGATATTTTAAAGACTTTTTTCCCCATTTTTGTTGCTGTTATTAAACAATATAGTTTTCCGTGACATTTTTTATAATTGAAGAACATGGTAAAATTGAAAATATAAAGATATGTTTTAACAAAAATTCGCTTTTAAAGAAAATTTCAAGTGGAAAAATAGATTTCTTACTTATAAAGAAACACTTTCCGAAATTTCCATACTCTTTCTTATTGATGTCGTTACAGCTTTAACTTGAAACATGATTCATTGGTTGCCTTAAAATTAGCATTCTTAAAAGAACACTGATTACATCCTCTGGAGTTTCAAAATTTAAAAGAAAACAAAATTAAGAGATTTACAAGAAAAAAAATCCGAAACTAAAAATAAATTAATAAATGTAATAAAAATAAAGAATACCAAAGAACAAAATGAAAGAATCTAAGAATTCTCTAGAGATTAATAATTGGTACCAGAAAATAGTTGTAAAAAAAGTGGGAGGCTTCTACAAACAATTTGAAATATAAGGACATACTTATTAATATCGCAAGTCATTTTTATTAATTCTCAAACTCCTGAAAATATTTTAAATGTCCATTGTAATTAACCTGGCATTGCTCGCGTGAAAACAACGAACGGAATAAATCCCGCGCAAGGTATCTCAAAACCCGAGAGTGTTTCTATTATGAAATCTCTATGCGAAGATAAAAAAGAAGGAAAATAGGAAATTCTATACATTCATCACACTTTGAGGTGGAAAGTTTTGTTTTTTAATTAATACACTCATTATCTCACTCATATACTTATTTAACCTCTTTGGTCTTGGCGGCGGGTGGATACGGTGTCTCCTGTGGATCCTAATTTTTCTTTTAAATTTAGTGGAAATTGCTGGTTTCTATAATTTTCCAATTAGTCGAACTTTCTATTAGTTAACTCCTCCGGGTGGTGTTATTTTTCCTTATAGTTCAAGCAAAAGCTATTTTCTTTATTTCAAAAGATTCTGTGAATATGGGTAACATGTTTAACATTTACATGCTTTAAAATTATGTTATTTCAAACCTTTTCTTTGATTCACTCATAAAAAAATATTTTCAACGATGTTTTTCTCTTCTAAGTCTGAATCAATTTCAGTAGAGAAATAATCGTTGTTTTAAATTCTTCATCAGCTGGTCAAGAACTTTCTTCATACGAAAATACTGTAGTACTACATCTGTTAAATATTGTATCTATTAAATTTCTTAAATGATGTATTTATTCATTATAACCATAATATAGTTTCATAGTGAAGGAAAGCTTTTGAAGTGAATTCCTGTATTCAGAATTGTAACTGAAATGTACACGCATGGTATGATACATACGAGGAAACGTTACCGAGGGGCGTAGCTACCGCCGTATCAGCCGTATCTATGATATAGGGGCCCCCAAGCTACAGGTGCCCTAACATGTGTAACATTTAGACACTTTCAAATTATTAAATTATTCAAAATCAAGTTATCATTTTAAGTTTTATTACCGTTGTCATTTTTATTTACCTTTGAAAAGAACTCTTAAAAAATCTTGATACAGGGTCCAGTGGTGTTTTCCAAAAATCTATTTTTAGAATTCACTCACAGGCTATAACCCCACCAAGAATATTACTTTACAGTCAGCTGCATGAGGAACCATCAACTTTTCAAAACCCTTTTTGAAGCATCATCAACAAAAGTTAGGTGGTGGATATTTGACATACTCTGCGCGGCAACTGTCGGGTTATTGGTCCACTTCACTTAAAATTGTTTAAATTTACGACATCAGGTACCAATATCCCTCGTGCAGTTTAAACTTTAACGCTAAAGAACAAAAAAATCAATAAATCTGGGTGGCTATAATCGTGTACTTGTTTCTGATGTTGTTATGGATGAATTGTTAGTTGTATTCGTGATGCCACTAAAATCTCTTCATGTAGCAGAACTGATTTATATTAAATCTGTTGGGATTGAAAATTTTCTTAATGAAATAATCTGGAAATTTGGTGAATGATCTTCTCGTCACTTGACGTAGATTATTAACAATACCTTTTACAATACATTGAAATGAGACATTATTTCATAATCAATCTATTAGATATTAAAAGATACATCTCTATACTTGACGTTAAAAATAAAATAGCCGTTAAACGTAAAACGCAATAGACATAGATCAATGTCAGAATTGTTTTATTGTTTATATTCATTGGATTTTGAATAAACTTTAGAATATTTCTTTCCATGTATAAAATATTAATAAATAATCCACTTTGGAGTCTGACAAAACAATGCGTGTCAAAAAATCATTAATATTCAAAAAGGCTTAACTTGACAGGCATGCGATTAAATAGAGACTTTCTAAATACAAAAGCAATTTCAATAATGTTTTCCTAAAGTATCAGTAATCGATTTCTATGTATCAAATTACTTTTAAGAAGGTCTATCTCTTCGACTCCATTAAAAGTGATGCCTTTTTAGAGACAACGACTTCAAATTGCAACTCTTCATTTCGATAACAAAGAAATAATGGAGGATGGCTTATTTCACCTAAACGTTTCTCATAAAAGTATTTATTTTCAAGCTAATAAAAGTTCGAAAATTTTAAGTTCCTTTCTTCTTTGTTTGATGTCACTTAATATTTTCTTATTTTTATTCTGGAGAAACTCTTTTCTGCATTGGTCGTAAGTAAATTTCTGAAGAGAGAGTGTGCATGGAAATAAAATAATAATAACAATAACAATAAAAACTGAAGAAAGCTATTCTTTGAAAGGTCTTAAATTACTTTGCTGCTAACTTTAAAGAGTTGGGGATAGTTTAGATGCTAGAATGCATTACTTAAATAAAGGCGATGAACAGGAGATATTTTGTTATTCAATTACGTTGTTACAGTCAATGATGGGGTGATAAGTTATAAGTGAGTTAAGACTACACAGTACCCTAAAAATTTCATTTTTACCGAATTTTTTTTTCTAGTGGGCCATATCATTGAGAAACTTGCCACGAAATTTCAGATCTGTTAGCAAATTAGTTTTTAAGATATTTGAAGTTTTATGAGCTATTTTTTTTGGTTTTGGTTTCATTTTAAAACATTTTTCCACTCTTAAATTGAATTAATTAAAAATATTTTGAGCTTTTATTTTGAAATGGTTATTAATTCCAATTTTCATTACTAAAATTATTTCTGCTTGACTTTTTTGAGTTATCATAATTAATTAATTAAGATTAATTTCATGGCCACTTTTTGCTTTAAAAATAGTTTATATAACTTAAAATCTTTATCATTAATTTTTTTCTGTAGAGAAAATGCTATGGCTAATGCGTTATCAGTTTGATGTGAGAAACAATATTTCTAAGAGATGAAATACTACTGAAAATGATGTATCTAAAAATCATTCATCTGCTGATTCTGCAATTAGACTTCTGAAAACAAGTATTCTGAATTCAAATGTTGCAGATATAACTGAATATTTCCTTGATATACCAAAGTACCTAATACTAAACATATTGTAGTACTATATTTTAGAATTTTAAAGTCGTACGACAAGAGCTAAAAC